ACTCGTACATATATTAAATATATATCAAATACAAAATTTGTCGATAATTTGACTACAGCGCCATCTACTGAATCCTAGCACAAAAATGCACCATTGTTGATTTTAATCGGTTAAATTTTTCTAAAGCTTCACGATCAATACCAGACACACAAAAGTTAACTAAAAAGTTAACTTTTAAGTTAAGGTTTAAAATTACATCTTATTTTGTACAAGACTCGGTGTTAATTTTAAAAATAACCTTTTTGAACTAGGATACATAGACAAGCAATTTTTTTACAAAAAAACATCAAAAACAGGAAAAGAACATCAAGATTCTCAGGATTGATGGAATATCTACATAATACAAGGTACCTTTAGAACGCAAGTTCTATTTGCACTTGTCGGGTCCGGTTATGCACGCCTCACAACGTGATATATCGCTACATAAAACCGTTCTTATAGTTTTAGATAGACATCAAATCCATATTATTATTAAAGTTACAATAACTACAGATATTGAATTATAAGATTAGTTTATTTTCTAATTGATTCACTTTAGATTACATAACAAAAAATGTAATTGAAGAAATATATGGATTGCCGTCCGTAGGTCTGTGCGGCGGCGAGACTTCTCGCTTAACAGAAATGTAAGCAGTAGATTGAGATATATGTATAGTATTCCATATGTTCTAATGAGGATCCCTATTGATTTTTGTTATTGAACTTTACATCACGACACTGTTTAAAAATTATTAATGAAAGTCGATCAGATTCTTTGTTTTTTTTTTCTTGTAAAAATACCGTCACTATTTTTATTTATTTTTTTCATCAAAATTAAATGAAACGCTCCTGAAGCATGCATTTTTTGGGTTTTAAAAACTATTTTAGTCTACTACCATTTAGAAATAAGATTTCTCTCAACAGAGAAGGAACGACAAAATAAATTCGGATCGCAGGTATAAATTTTTATAATGTTTTAAGATGAAATACGATAATAACTATTATATAAAAAATAGAAACCCATTAGTAACATACAGAACAGCTGTTCTATAAAAATCAAGACGTGAACATTTTGGAGATTATCAGCGAGCATCAACCCGAGCAGAATATTACAATAAAGTTGTAAATGGACTTTACAGTCTATAAACACGTGTATAATGTGCCTAAATATTCTTAGGGCACTTATTAAAACTTATTATTAAGACTAAAAGCATTTAGAGTGTCATTTACTTGAGCCCCAAGTTTCTTTAACCTCGCCAGGCCTGCTACACGAAAACTTTGTGAGATATACAGTGGAATCTCAATAATTCGAACCTCGTTAAGTCGTAGTTTTTTTCGACTTACTGAGAGTCGAAAAAAATAGACATGGGCTTGTCCAAAATTGGGGATGATTTGCTGTAATCACAATTTTTGGCGTGTTCTTGACTCTGCTTTCCGTCGCTGGTCTGGTTATAGCGCCATTTTTAGAAAACCAAGATTTTTATCTGGAGTTTAAAAAAGTCGGCATTTAGGATAACCACAGGGCTAGATTGGGTGGATGCTCGTAAGCTACCACTAGGCGACGAACTCCATTCGCACACTTTATTTCCGTGTTAGGCTTAATTTATGAGCCGATTTTGACGATTTCTTACTGATTAAATCTTAAATATTTATATGTAGAATTACACAACATAAACTGCCTTTAAATGTCAATGGACAATTCTTTGAAAGGCGTATGTAGTTTGGTTCAAAAGGGTTTTATCCAGAAATAAGTAGCAATAAATAAGGGTGATATACGAGCGCACCCCAACAGTCCACCTGATAGTAAGTGAATGCTAGTGCCAATAGTGACCTAGTTCATGTTCTCTATCTTGATTAAGAATCCAAACACAGATACGTTACACCTGAAGACTAAGATGGAATGCTTTGCAAAATGCAGCATTATGCTGATATTTTCCACTGGTATTTGATATTGCGAGCGTGGTCCTGTCCCATTCGAATTGCTAGTCATATAGCGTGATTCTTCAAAAAGGTTGACGGCGACGACAAATAGCCCGCTCTTGTTTTATAAAATTAAAACAAATGTCCAGCACCTGACTCGTCGCGCTTCTATTATCATACAACAAGAAATATGTTTTGGTCGGGTGCTACGTGGTGCAGAAATCGCAGTTGACGCATTATTTAATTAGTTCCTCTTAAAAAATTATAACACTTGCATCTAAGTTATATCTATAAAAAAATCATGAAGAAGTAAACACCAACAATAGATCTTATAGCAGCGGTGTCAATTCAAGAGAGTTTATTTTTTAAATTATAGTCGTTCTGCAATCTAGGCTACCACAAGATTTAATGATAGGTTCGAATAAATAACTCGTCTCTGTTAAAGTAGAGACTATCGTCTATATCTTGTTTTTAAGTGAATAGGCGTATTAAAGCACTAACTTTATAGAATATGACGCGACCATCGGATCCGGTCGATGCAACTGTGCAATCAGTGCTAGTTAGTTGTCGTCTCCTTTATCTATCCACGTCTCGCTTCCTATAATTTTGTAGGATCAGGCTTTGCGGAAAGGCGTTTTGAACTGGTTGTTGGAATTATTGAATTCACAGTATATTATAAAGTTCTGCTAAAGTTATTAATTTAATATAAGTAAAATTAAGTCAGTTTCTTTATAACTACTTTAAAAAGCACTAAATTCGTCTACTTTACTCTTTTACAAATGATTTAAAAATTTAAAAAGTCCAAAATTTAAAAAAAATCTATTAAAAAATTTATTAATGTTTAAAACGAAAAAAAAAAAACAAGAACTTAAAAAGTCATGAAAATATTATACCCACTATTATAACACTAACACTTTTCGTAAATTAATTATCAGCCACTTAGTCAGCCAGTCATCCTGAGTGTGAGAGGTTACTTTCTCATGTTAGTTATTACCTACATTTTAATTTAGTTTTTTTTATTATATACTAGCTGATCCTCGCGACTTCGCCCGCGTGTTATTTGGGGTTTTAGTTTTTTTGCGCGGAACCCTAATTCTTTTTCTAAAATAAAAGTAGCCTAAGTTACTCCTTATTACATCAGCTATCTGCCAGTGAAAGTCCCGTCAAAATCGGTCCAGCCGTTTCAGAGATTAGCCGGAACAAACAGACAGACAGACAGACAGACCGACAGACAGACAAAAATTTTAAAAATTGTGTTTTTGTTATAAGTATCGTATATACTTTCATATGCATTTAGTAAAAAGCCTTAATTTTGACATTACAAACAGACACTTCAATTTTATTTATTTGTATAGACTAGCGAACTGCCCCCGCTTCGCATAGGTGATTCTGGATCTCGATAACAGCGCCACCTAACGGGTCCAAATGTAAATCTAAACCATCTAAGGACCCATTCAAACATACACAAAAAATTTCAGTTTTAGCGAGGCTAACGGACAGTAATTGATTTTTATATATAGAGATTTAGTTGGGTTTGATTAGATTATTGTTATATAAATCTAGTTGCAATTTTAATTAAGACACTAATTAATAGTTTGACTGAAAATAAATCTCTTTTCAAACTGTTTAAATTAATAAGGTTTTGCAGACTTTTACTAAATTACTTTTATATTTTTTTGCTTGCTTCTGGTTTTCGTTAGTTACTGTTTTTAACTAACTTTTAGATTTAGCATGTAGTGTTTAGCTTTAAATGATTTTGCATATCCTGTACATGTAATGTAAAACTCTAAGAAATGCGTGTAATGTATGTGATGTAAAATTGCTGGTAGACCCAATAAATCTATACAAATAAATAAAATTGAAGTGTCTGTTTGTAATGTCAAAATTACAGATTTTTACTAAATACATATGAAAGTAAATACGATTCTTATAACTAAAAAACAATATTTTAAAATTTTGTCTGTCTGTCTGGCGGTTTGTTCCGGCTAATCTCCGAAACGGCTGGACCGATTTTTACTGGACTTTCACTGACAGATAGCTGATTTCATAAGGAGTAACTTACTTTTATTTTATAAAAAGAATTAGGGTTCTGCGCAAAAAAAGAAAAACCCTAACACGTGAGCGAAGTCGCGGGAACAGCTAGAAAATTAATAAATAAATATTAAAAACCAAACCAAAAAGCAATGGCGGTAGAAAAGCGTTTCGCTTCGACGCTGTTAGTGGCGGGCTCATTTCTAGCATTGAACAAGTATTTAAATGGCCATACATACTCAACTCATAATATATAAACTTATACGTGAAAAAAAATTTTGAAATTTTGAAAAAAAAACGATTTGAAAAATTTTCACGTGGACCTCCGCATGTTGATTTTGTATGTGGTCACGATAACTCCCGAAAAAATTGACGTATCTCGACGTATTAAATCATCTGGTTCCCTTTTTCATATCAATAGCCTAGTACGCGTAGTTTGTTGATAAAATGATTTTCAACTTTTATAAGTTTTATTAATATACATTTAAAGGCGTTTTCATATTTTTTTAGCCCTTGATAAACAAAGGACAAATGTGCCATACAGCCTATATCGATTTTATACTTTGTGTAGTCGATTTATTTTTGTAAACATTATAATTTTTTTTCCCTGTAGGTGACATTACCTGTTAAATTAATAGAGCGCTAAATTTTAAACTCGTAAATAATATATTTTAAAAATCAGGAATACAATTTATTTTTTTCATTAAAATTAAATGAAATGTTCATGAAGCGTGCACTTTTAGATTTTCCAAACTATTTTTTTATATCTATACTTACATATTTCCTAACCAGACAAGAATACTTCAAAATATCAAAAATAATACCCGTAATAACGACATTAGTCTCTGAACTCCCATGATATTTATTGTCGTTATAACTCTCCAACAATCGGGAACAATATCGCAAACGCGGGTGAGCGCTATGAGAAATAGATCAAAAGCTTTATATCCTCATCTGTAACTGTCGCAGGCACTTTATTGTGGTGTGGGCCCAGCTGTTGTCGTACGTCGACATATCCAGCCGTCCGGTTCAAACTGAGCTTGAGTTATATTGTGTATTTTTCATTTCAGACCTGTCCACGTGCTGTAATAAAGCTGAGGGCACCTGTCGAAGTGTATGCGAAAAGGTACGTCCTTTATACTTAACACAAACACTTTTTACATATTTGTTTTACGTGGTAGAGCCACGCTGCAGCTATATTGTGCAGTTATACACAGCAGCACGAATGGGTCGGCTCGACCGGGGTTGGACCACGCTCTCACAGAATATCAGCGTAAAATAGCAGCTTAATGCTGCTGTGTTTCGTATGGTGAGTGTAGAGAACTGGAGACCCTTTTTACTGGAAACGAAGCATTCCATTTCAGTCCTCAGGGGTGAGAACGCATCTGCATTTTTATTCTTAATTGAGGATAAATGTAGATGTCTATGGGCCACAGCATCCACTTACCGTCAGATGAAGTGTATGCTCGTTTGTTTCCCTTATTCTGTAAAAAAACAACATTCAATATATTCGCGTAATAATACTATTGGTTTAAATAATGTATTACGATTATAACGATTTTTTTATAAACTGGATTACTGCTACTGTATCCATACAGATGCGTTGCGTTCACAAGTAGAGGTAAGTGGAGGGGATACCCGTACCCATAAACACTTACATCTACCCTTGATTAAGAAGCAAAATGAAGATGTGCTTCCATCTCAGAAAACTAAAATAAATTGCCCTATTGAAATGGCATTATGTTACTATTTTACACTGGTGTTTTGTGAGAGCGTGGTTCTATCCCGATCGAGCCGATCTATTCGTGTTGCAAACTTACAGATGAGGCATGACTCAAAACATTTTGCATAAATCTAACGTAGTTAAAACAATGAGTCGCTAATATTACACATTTTATAATTATATAATTTACAATTCAAACGCCGTCAGAGCGGCGGACGTAGAGTACCCTACTAGTACACTGCCAAATGAAGCTAGCTATATATACCTAGCCTACACGCCTAAATGGAGACATATATATGTATGTATTTTTTTGCATAACCGAGCAAGCTTCAGCACTAAAAAGGGTGAGGAACAAGTGCAAGCTTCTTACACGTCATACGAGAAAATTAAATTTAGCCAAATGCCCAGCCTGTAAAGGTTTTACAAATTCGGCCAATTTACTCGATGGTTCGTGTACTTTTAGGTACAGTGTAAGCCCTGGATTCGAATTTTATACCGAAGTTAAATACAACCGTGTGTTTGAGACAGTAAAATCTTATGTGGTTACGTAGCTTGTCTTTCAAAGCAATAAATAAAGTTCCTTTTGAAGACTTTTTAAGTCATAAACGATCACATGTCAAGATAACATCAACGATATATCCTTACATTTCTTTTCTTTATTTACTTTTTACTGGTTACCAAAGATCAAAGAACAATAACAGTTCTTTCTATGAAAAACTCTAAGAACTTTGAACCAATGTATAATGACACGACTTTAGTCTGATAACCGTATGGACCGCGGCGTTATATAAATAACACAGAAATGGCAGTTGACCGGAAGTAATAAATTGGCTTAATTAGTCAAATTTGTTTCCAAAAATGTTCATTGGGAATTACAATAACGCTTTGTTATTTAAATAAGATGTCATTATATTGAAAAACACATTCGATTTATGAACTACTATTCATTATATGTTGTAAACAATGATGTCTCTCTGACCAATTTAGATAGTAACAGAAGTTACTAATTACGCAAGAAATATTTATTCATAGAAGTAAGGGTGGCAAACGAGCACCCAGCCTAGTACATGGTAAGTAGATACGGTTCATAGACACTTGAACCTGTCATAGATTAAAAATCCAAATGCAAGTGCGTTGTAACTCCTGAGGACTGATAAGAAATGCCCTGATTTCGTTGGACTTAGTTGTGTTTTTTTTTCTGGTTCTTGCCAACCTCTGATTTTATCACATAAACGTTACATCTGCCACGGGGAAGAACAAGTGAGTGTCTGTATGATAAGAAAAATAGTTGTGATGTTATATTTTGTGCGGGTAAAGTAGACCTACGCTCCAGCTGTATCGAGATCGACCGAGGAAGATCACAGAAAAATAGTCATCATCATCATTACAGCCCTTCATAAGTCTACTGAAGAACATAAGCTTCCTCTGAAGAAGCAGCTGAACTGCCACAAATACGGTCCCGAGCCATTAGCATTTATGGAATTCAGGCATGTTTTACAACTTCGCTTAACGTTACGAGGCTGCCAGTCTTCAACCTTTCCTTCCCATCGGTTGTAGGTTACCATAAAGGTTCTTCCGCAGAATACCATGAACATCTGCAGCGTTATCCTGTTTCTCACGGTGACAGACTAGAACCGTAGACCGTTTTAACTGGTTACGAGACTTTCCATCTTAGTCCAAGAGTCACAACGCATATACATTTTGATTCTTAATCGAGGATGATTTACGGGCCATAGCTATCTACTTACTATTAGATGTATTGTGATCGTTTATCTCACTTCTATAAAAATACAATGTTGTGTATGTAATATTCTCATATAATATTACGAGCAATTCATACATTATTCCTAAGGACGCATCGCCTCTAATCAAAAATCGCGTCACATTGAGGATAGTGTTCTCAGAACGCGCCTCGAGTGAATAAAGAGAAAATTATTAAAACGTGTAAGCGAAGACGAACGCGGCGGACTATACGTTTGTATTTAATTCCGTCTCGTTAGGGAGCGCTGCGTGACGGTCGCTTCCTCCACCGCGACACTCTTTGAATATTTTACAATCGAGAGGATCATTTGATGCTCGATTTAGTATCGATTATAATCGACACGCTGACAGATAAACACAGCTGATGAAGTAAATAAATGATTGGACGGAAGTCTAATGGCGTCTTAGTTTATCGTGGTATATCAATTGAATTAGGACTATGCAAGAGCGTGTGGCAAAGTATATAGTTTGCGGTAACTTTCAAAACTAACGCACACCTACATGGTAGAGTCATGCTGTAGCTATATTATAGTTGGAGTGCTAATGGGTCGGTTCGATCGGGAAGGACCACGCTCTCACAGAATACCAGCATGCAATAGCAGCTCAATGCTGCTGTTTTTCGTATGGTGAGTGTTGAGAAATGGCGACCCTTTGTACTGGATACGAGGCATTCCATTTTAGTCCTCAGGGGTGACTTTTGATACTTAATCGAAAATAGATGTAGATGTCGATGAGCCACAGCATCTACTTACCATCCGGTGGGCTGTGTGCACGCTTGTCCACCTTACTTAAATATGGTAATAATGTAGGTATGTTATTGATTTTAAAATTGTTTTTGTCTCATACCTATATCATCCGGTAACTTTAAATACACTGTGTAAACGGGATGGAGAAAATCTATATAAAGTGACTCGTTAAGCTCTTCGTTAAATGTAAACAAACACACACGCACACACACACACACACACACACACACACGCACGCGCGCACGTAAGCACGCACGCACGCATACACGCACGCACGCTCACACGCATGCGCTCACACACACACACACACACACACACACACACACACACACACACACACACACACACACACACACACACACACACACACACACTTGTTGACATCCTGCATGTCTTATTAGATTGTCACTGTCAGTGGTTGCCTACCATTTAGGCTGTCATTTTGAAAACTTTCCTCTCCATTTCTTCTTGGTTCTTTGATTGATAGGGTCTGCTAATGTCCCTTCAGCTTTTTGATCCTTTGTACTATTATGGTTATTAAATGTACTGTATAATCTACTGAGATTTAACTGTGATAAATTTTAATTTATGTATGTTAGTAAGTTATAGCTTCTGCCGTAAATTTCTAGTAGTGACGCTAGAGAACAACTAAATTACTGAAGTGTTTTCCTTTTTCATAAAACTGAAGTGACAGACGAACTTACAGTTCACCTGATGGTAAGTGAGCTCCTGCAGTCCAAAGAAAACCATTAGACGGGCTATATTACCCGTATGCTTGTTTCTTAATGAAGTACACATGTTATAAAAACTTGCACAAAATACTTAATTTCTGACATTGTATTAACTAAAAAACTTCAAATAAATGCTTGCCATATTGCCAATTAGATTACAGATTACATTTCAGAAAAACCCCGATGAAACGTCAAATGAAAAGCCCATTACGATAACTATTTCCTAGTGTCATTATCCTTTGTCCCCTTAAGCAACATGGCGGACATGGCCATTAAGTCATTACACTGTCTAGCTCGATCTAATGTATAGGGTGCACTATTAATTCCGTACAGCACGCCATTCTATAGGATTTTTAATAAGAATTCACGTACAGACAAATATTTGTTTAAGATAATTAATAGAATCAGGCGTTACTTTGCGGAAATCCATTGTAACGTGTAACATGTAAATCTGTATTCTAACCTGTTGATATCTGTACCTTTTTCTATGATGATTATGTGAAAATATAAATTATTAGTTCACCGTCAACCAAAGAGTTTTAATGGGGTATACCCTGGAGCCAGTATGTTTATCACTGCGATTGAACGTTGGTTGAAAAATCCAACGTATTCATCAAGTTTACCAAAAGTAATCTATACAAATAAATACAATTGAAGGGTCTGTTTGTAATGTCAAAATAACAGCTTTTGCGAAGCAAAAATCTTATGGTGGCCACTCACGGTCAGTTAAACTGAATAGTTTAACTGACTTACATCCAAAAACTGACCGTGAATGTGAAATCTTAAGTTGAAATTTTTAACTGAAGACAAAACACGGATTTTTTCGAGCGTGCTATCAGTTAAACCCATGAAGCTTTTGCTTCATGGTTAAACCGCTCAGTTGAACTGACGTACATCCAAAAACTGATCGTGAATTTGAAATCTTAAGTTAAAATTTTTAACTGACGGCAACCCACGTATGCATTATCTAAATGCACATGAAAATACATAAGGCACTTAGGTATAACAAAAACACAATTTTAAAAATGTTGTCAGTCTGTCTATCCGTTTGATCCAGCTAATCTCCGAAATGGCTGGACCGATTATGACGGCATTTTAACTGGCAGATAGCTTATGTTATAATGAGTAACTCAGGCTACTTTTATTTAAGAAAAAAATTAGGGTT